AAAAATCTGACATGGTTGAAGGGAAACTAAACCTAAAGTAAAAGAGAAGATTATGTGGGGGAAGAGAAGAGAATGAGGCCTTTGTGGGCCTTGCCGCAGAAAGAGATAAATTTGTCCTTTACAAAAAAGAAATAGTACCCTTTAGTCATGGAATATTTATGAGGCATTGTAAAGGAATGTCTTCCTGAAAAGAAACAGATCTCTTAAGAGGAGAGGCAATTTTATTTGCTCTCCAAGTCAAGAAAACATACAGGAAATTCAGCCACCTGAGAACTTTCAAACCATTTAGACAAAGAAAGGACATAGATAACATGTGCGTTCTTTCTTCTTATTACATAATTAATAGTGATGCAGAACTTTATCTAGATGTCTTCTAAAATTTTCATTCAAATGGTAAGAAGTTCTCTTCTACTGATAAGCACCTCTCCCAGAGTATAGAGGAGGAAAATGGGGGGATTACTCGTCTGACCCTAATTCTGATTAACAGTGAGGAATTGGTGGAGTGGAAATGGAAAAGTCAAGGTAGGTGGGGGGGTGGGGGGAGCAACATGGCGAACTGTTTTATGATACCTTCTTATCTCATGGCATATATAAACTAATTACTAAAATTTTATAGCACACCAAAAATTTATATTTTGCTGATCTGGCAAAAAAATAGGCATAATGTTGATTCATTCACACTGGATGGCCATTGTTGTGTTGGCAGTTTTTTTTAATTTGGCCATTGTCAATTTTATGAGGGAAAAGAGGCCAGTGCCCCTGACTAAATAGTCAGGTGTTGCATGTCTTAACAATTCTTGCAGCACACTGGTTGAAAATTGCTGTGATACATAAATAGTTGCCACTCACTACGCCCTTCGGGAACTGCCTGCTCCACTGACATGAGCTTAGCAACTTGCACGTGACTTGCTTTGGCTAAAGACTTCTAAGAAAACATGACCCACTTACCTTACTTCAGGACAAATGCTCTTTTTTTCCATCTGACACAAGATCAGCAATACCTCAGAAAGCAGCTTTTTAATAAGCTTCAAGCCAGGACATGTAGCACAAGTTTTTAAAAACCAATTCATTGTTGTAGAGCAGTGCTTCTCAATCAGGGGTTATACTGTTCCCCTCTCAGACCTCCCCAGAAGATAGTTCTGGTTGTCACAGCCAGGGGTGTGCAGCTGACATCTGCAGGTAGAGGCCATGTATGCTGCTAAATAGCTCACAAGGCACAGGACAGGCCCTCAAAACAAAGAATTACCTGGCCAAAATGGCACTAAATGCTAAGATTAAGAACACCCTGTTGTAAGCTTCTGGGTTTATTTATTAATACAGCATAACTTAACCTGTCCTGACTAATATAGCAACTACCTCACTAATTTCATAATAGCCAATGTGGAAATAGTTGGGTTTAACCAGTGAGTTGCCTTGGTATTAGGAAGACAGATTTGAAAGAAATCCAGGAAGAAATGTAGATACCATGCTGTGGCATATGATTTTGAAGGTGACTCAAAAGGTTCAGAAACTTCCAGTTCCACAACTATTACTGTGCAGCTGCAAATATTCCAGATAAACAAAAACCAGACAGAAAGGCTAAAAACCAATGTGGTTGCTTGTTGAATTTTCCAGTGAACTTTATATTAAAATAAAAGAGTTTTGTAATCAAAGATAAGTATGTCTTTTACACTCCTCTAAAAATAGCATTAAAAAAGTTAAGTTCCCAAGTTGACATAACTTGAACCTGCAAAAACTGCTAACATCCCAAGAGGTTTTTGCTTGTTTTAGTTGTATTAGAAGCAAGACCAAGCACGAAATGGATCTCTTGTTTGACGCTTGTGAACTAATAGAGAAAGCAGGACAGCTCATCGAGGTAGCCTCAGTCCCTCACCAGCAGCCACCAGCCTCAGCTGGACCACCTGCCTCCCATTCTTCCGTGATAGCTGCCTCTGCAGCACCCTTGTTTGAAGCAGCGGGCCTTTTTAGCTCTGCCTCGGAAAGCTGCGCATGTAATTGCAGTATCAGAAGCGGTTACTGCCCTCCTTAGTGGATAGAAATCGCCCCACCTTTGACACCTGGGGAATAAGTGACAGATTTTATATATACCTGTCCCTGCTTAGCATTCAGAGCTACATCATAGTTTATATTCTATAAAGGATGGAATGCTATGTTTCAGAGGCAATGATTCCCAGACTTTAAATATTTTCAAGCAAAAGCCAGTGAGCCACTGGGTTGTCGATTCTCTTCTAACCCTGACTCCCTATCATTCTAAGTTTAAAAGTCTGGATTGAAGTTAAGAATAAATATTTTGGCCCCAACCAGTGTGGCTCAGTTGGTTGGGTATCATCCCTCAAAGCCAAAGGTCACCAGTTCAATTCCTTGTCAGGGCACAGGCCAGGATTGTGGGTTCCGTCCCCATTTGGACTGTGTATAGGAGGCAACCAACCCATGTTTCTCTCTTTCTCCCTCCCTTTCCCTCTCTCTAAAAATAAATGAATAAAACTTTTTATTTAAAAAAACCCAAATATTTAATTATGTGCCTTAGCTCCTAGCATATTTTAGCCATATCTAAATACAAGATACTAGGAGATAAAGAAGCCAGTCCATCTGTAGCCATAAAAACTCCCCTGAGCCTTCTCCTTTCTCTAAGAATAGAAAGGGCCCTGGCTGGCGTAGCTCAGTGGATTGAGCGCGGGCCTGCGAACCAGACGATCACGGTTCGAATCCCAGTCAGGGCACATGCCGGGGTTGCAGACCAGTTCCCTGCAGGCCAGTTCCCAGCAGGGGATGCACGAAAGGCAACCATACATTGATGTTTCTCTCCCTCTCTCCTTCCCTTCCCCTCTAAAGATAAATAAATAAAATATTTTTAAAAAAAAAAGAATAGAAAGGGTAACTGCAGAGTCCTGATTGGAGTCCATCTCTATTATATATAGCCCATGAGAATTTCCCCATCACATTAGCAATGGCCATCTCTCTTGGCCATCCATCCAAAGCTGTTTGTTTCATTACCTGCAATCAGGTCTAAATCACCAAATCCACATTCTAAAACACCTGCCTGTTCATTGTAGGCCCACCAAGTTCATAGAATTAGAGATGTGGTCAACAAGCCATGGCAGCATGACCAAGACCTATTGTACACTTTCTCTTCACCAGCTTAGCGAGTGGTAGGAGACTTGGCGAAAATAGGAACCACTAGCAAATTTCTGTTCTCGCTCACTCTGATTCAGCTGAGTTATGAAAATCGTGCCTAATGTTTTCTCTTTTAATATAGTAACAAGAATGAGGTATATAGCATTTGGAGCACATTCTTCTATTATAATATTCTTTATTAACCTTAGTTATTTATAAAGTATATTTTAATCAACAGTTCTAAAATCAAAACAAGGAGATAACGATAGTAAATTTAGGCAAAGTTTAAGAAATAGCTTATAATGTGGCATTTAAAACTTAAAATGTGTTTTATGAATTCCTAATTTTTCATCTCTTGTATTAAATCTTTCTTAGTTTTATGCCATCATATTTTTAGTCTTAAAAATGTCTACCTGCCTCCGAAAAGAATGATCAGGTCACAAGATAATACAGATAGCAAGTAAACAAACAGTCTTAAAAATTAAGTATTAGTAGTAGTTAAAGAAATACAAAGTAAATTATCAAGTTATCATTTTTCCTATTAAAAGTTTTTTGTTATTTTTATTACAAAAGTGTAACATCTTTATTATAGAAAATAAGGAAATGCAAATAAGAGAAAAGATGTCACAGTGGCAATTAACATCTCATGATATGGCTGTCATTGCTCTTCCTGTTCGTGTCTAGAATTTATCTGAGTCTCCTATTGATGTGCATTTAAATTTCTTGTTATAAGTTATACTCCAATAAACATCCTGTGTGTCAATCCTATTTTCGTATCTCTGATTATTTTGTTAGGATTAGTTCCTAGAACTGTTATTGCTAAGTCAAAGCATATTGCATTTTTAAGGCTTTTTATTATTTTTTTTACCAAGTCGTTGACCAGAAAGTTTATATCATATGTATGAGAGTATTGATTTATGTGTTTTCCAGCCCATGTTGTCTTTGTTGTTTTTTATCTTCACCACTTTTGATAACTCCAGAGTGGTATCTTGTTGTTTTGATATTTACTTCTTTGATGATAATCAGAACAAACTTTACATGTCTCAACAAAATACCACAAATTAAATAAAAATCTTCACTGTTACAATATTTATAAGAGAAAACAAACATACACATACCTTTAAATGGTCAACAAAAGGAAAGCAGTTAAATAAAAACTGTGACACTCCTCAATAATAAGCTGTTCAGCTGTTAAAACATTAAGTGTGCAAAGTACTTTAACTAAATAAGAAAAATATTCATTCTATATTAGTAAGACATTAGAATGGTAAATTTTTATATGTAAGTTTATCTCTATGATACTCTTTAAATATATAAGGGAAAAAACCCGAAGCCAAAATTTACTACTTTTGAATGATGTTAATTGATTTTTAGTATTTCCTTTCTTTAAGATTTTATGTACTTATTTTTTAGAGAGGGGAAGGGAGGAAAAAAGAAAGGGAGAGAAACATCGATGTGAGAAACATCGATCGACTGCCTCTCACACGTGCCCCAAGTGGGGATCAGGCCGGCAACCCAGGCGTGTGCCCTGACAGAAAATGGAACAAGCCACCTTTCATTTTGCAGGGACAGCACCCAGCCAATTGAGCCATTCTGGCCAGGGCCATGATTTTTAATATTTTCCACGTTTTTTATAGTTAACGTATCCCATTTGTGAAGAAAATACATTTGAAGGAAACTGTCCACCTGCAATTTGTGTAGCATGTATTCTACAGATAATATTAAGACATTTGATATTAAAACAGGGAACATGAACAAAACAGAAGTAAGATTCTGGTAAGCAGTTAATCAGCCACTTGTCAAAATGTTCAAAGTTTCACATGCTTGAGCATCTGACAGTGGTTAAATCCCCTGAAAATGTAATGTGTATTTTTTTTCCTTTTTAGGTTGCAGCTGTTGATCTTCTGGTTCCCGGAGTTGGAGAGCTCTTTGGAGGAAGCCTCAGAGAGGAACGGTACCATTTCTTAGAGCAGCGACTGGCCAGGTATTGGTCAGACCTAAAAGAAACGAAATTCAGAAATTGGGGACAGAGAACTCAAAGGCAGTCATGACAAAGTAACAGAGAACAGTTCATGGGCCTCAACAGCTGAAACTCAAATTCTAAGTGATCTTGACCAAGTTGTTACTCGACTTTCCTCAGCTTCCCTTTCTTAAAGAATGAAACTGTTGTGTGAAACAGGCCAGAATAAAAGGTGCCCACTATTTGTATGTCCCTCTTCCTATGGAAGCGGCTTTTTAAAAAGTGAATGATAGGGGAAGGGAGATTTTCCCTTAAAGCTTATCCTTCGTTTTTATTTTTCTCTTCTCTCTGTTCTTTTTTATTTATTCTAAATTATGACTCTTATAGAGACATAAAGAAAGATAGACTCTGAGCCAGAGAAAGGATAAAGATGGAAAGAGACAGATACTAAAAATACCTGCTAAGCCCGCATTTAGAAGCAGCGGTTTTCCCTTCCTCGGGCTTTTCTACGTCGTGGAAGGGTCTTGATTTAGCTGTTTGACGAGACCTGGGAAACGAATCCGTAAACACACAGACAGTGTTTTGGAGAAGAGCAGTAGGGCGCCGTGTTTCTAGTTGAAGTACCACTCCCATATGTGGTGGCCTGCCAGCACACCGCAGTGGCTTCCTACACTAGCCCAGGCTGAAACCTCCGCTTTCCGGGGCTTCCACTTTTGCTGTGCCGGACTTTTTTAAAAAAAGGCTTTCCCATGCGGCAGGCGTAATCCTTCCCTCCAGATAATACTGGGTTTCATAGTAACGTGGAAAAGCCATTAAAACATTTGAAAATATGCTGCTAAATTAGCCATCGTAAGGCCTTCTTTTCCTAATGGAGAAATGCTTTAAAAGTTGATGTTTTCCAAGGTCCAAACCTATAAATCTATTGGGTAACTTGGTTTTGTAATCTTAATTATTTGAACTGCTCTATTTGGTTAGGGTCCAGAAGTAAGGGGATAAATATGTTCCGGGAGGACTGTTTTTTTTTTTTTTTAAATCAGAGTACTTAACTCCTTACTATAACAATAATGTTAGAAAGTCCTGGGAAAATCACAGAATTGAAGTAAAGGTCAAACTCCTTAGATGGAAAGAATTTAAAGATTCTCTGGGTCTTTTTTAAGCACAATAAAAATCACACATGGCAAGAAACCTCATCTGTTGAAAGATTAATTGGTCTGTTTTCTTTGCATGCTTCCTTCCTTCAGGAAACTTGCCTCATGACATTAAATGTTTTCCTAATATCTGATAATACCAAATGTATCTTTCCTAATGAAATGGGTATGTTTTCCTCTCTCACCGATCTGCCTGGGACTTCTGTTTATGCATTCTGTATTTTTGTATATTTGAGTTTTTCATCCTCCTGATCCTTTCAAACACACTGTGGTCTCAAACACTTTTTTAAAGAACTAAAATTACTTTTAATGAGTACTAAGAGCTTAAGACTTTAACACTTAATTGGCAAAAACCAATCGGCAATCATATTATGAAGGTAGCTTCGGAACCTGTGTTATCAGTTTGATGTACAGAGTGGCAGGTCTCTGCACCTGGTTTGTGTGTGCCTCGAGGCAACCTTAGGTAGCAGGAACAGTGCTTTCCTTATGGTGCAGGACAGTGCACGCATGTCAGATGCACTCCTTCTCTCGGGCCCTGGACCATGCTTTCCCTCTGTAGCATTCATCTACTATACCACTTACTGGGTAATACCTGGGACTGTTGTTTAACTAACCTTTCTTACCATATAGTAAAGATGCAGCTCCTCAAGTAAATTGCATGGGATTTGAGAACATAACCTTTGGTGTGTACTTCTCTGTAACAAGCATACAACCCAGAACAAATGTTTGGTGGTTAGTGTATTTATTTATCTTACGGACATTCTCTGAAAGAATTTTTTTGGTATTCCTTTTACAGCTCTGGACTGACGGGAGCCTACCAGTGGTAAGAATGAGGCCTCTGATGATTGTTATTCTAGCTGTTGGTCTCAGCATTGTACAGTTTTGCTTGTTATCCCAAGGCACTACGAAAGAGTGTTAAAAATGATGAACTAGTTCTCGCAAGATTGCTTATTTCTTTTGAGTCCTTGAAAAATAGTAATGGTAATGGCTATTTGTTTATTACTTATTGTGTACTAGATAACTATTAAAATTTTGATGTATATTATCTCATGTAATCAGCGTAACATCCTGTGAGTTAGGTACTATTCTTACTCCCTTTTTATTACCTGTGCAGACCTGAGGTCTAGCGATGTTAACTAACTTAACTAAGAACGCACAGTTAGAAGACAGAGCTGGGACTTTATTCGTAACTATTATGCTTCATTTTCTTTGTGGGTGAAATTAGGGGCTTGAACTAAGTGATCTTCACCAACTGTAGAACTCTAAGGTGCTCCGGGAGTATCACCTGTCTGCATTCATACATTTGCTTCTCCAAAGTTATTCTGGTTTTCCTTCCTCAGACCCTTTCTTCAAATAATTTTCAATACCTTTCAATATATGCACATTTTAATTTACATTTTATTTATAGCACTCCTGTAGGATCTTGGCATAATAATATCAACAATATTATTAATTTTTCACCTGTCCTCAAGCGAAAGAAGGGTCAAATTACACACTCACTTTTTGGTATTAAGGAACTAGATTTCAGAAGTGTAAAAAGCCTAAAATTGGGTTCAGGTATTGGGCCTTGAATACCTTTGTTTTCTTGTTTAACCAGTAATGACTTTAGGCTTGTTTAATCTCTCTTGAGTCTTGGTTTTCTTGACTAAAAAATGGAATGATCATATCTACTTCACAAGGTTACTGTAAGGATGAAAAGAAAAAACATAGGCTAAGTATGTACATAGAGTAGAAGCTCGTAAATGCTAGTTCCTCACTCCTCATCCCTCTCCTTCCTTTGTTCTGAATTTTGCTGTTAGGTAGATGAGCCTGATTGATCGATCTTACGCATTTTATGTCAGCTTCTGTCTACAAGATAATGTCCATAGTGTGTAAAACTAGCTAAATGCACATTTTAATTATTGGTTAAGTAAGTTTAGGACGTTTTCTGGTCCTTATTAATCATTTCAGTACTATTCTTTTCCCAGCTAAAGTTTTCAAACTGTTAAGATCTCCAAATATAAATGTATATTATTTAGACCTTTTCCCTTTTAAATGGTTATAGTATTTCAGGGTAGAGGGAGTTTTAAAAACCTGCATGTCTGTGACCTCTGCTGGCGTTCCCCCCACTGTGCGTGGCCACCCCAGGTGTCTAGGAATCTACTCACTTCCTATTTCTACATGCCATATGCAAATAAAATTTGTAACTAGTTCCACAAATTTTGTACCAACTCTTCTAAAATCTGGCTACCCTGGAATAAATTGAACAAAAATCCACCAAATATATATATTCATTAGAAAACTTGTTTCTTAGAAGTGGATTTTTTCATCTATTAAAGCAAAGGGAAGAAAAATGCCAAATTTAGTTTTAGAATTCATACCAGTGTTTTGACATCAACGTATGAGAAATCTAGAACCACCTAAGCTGTTGCTATACTTCTGGCCGCCAGCTCACATCCTGCAGGTGTTTGTGGCAGGTGGTTTGAATGCCCTTTGTTTCATTTTCTCACTAAATCAAAGTACACCCTGCCCCCATGCCTAATCAACTTTGAGTTAATTCAGCTCAAACATTTCAATTATTGAAGACTGTGTTCCACCCATTTTTCCTGACAGTTCTTACTAATCTGAAGCTTTATACTAGATACTCCTGTTTATAGATCTGTCACTTGGTTCTGACTCACCTGGTTGCAATTCATTTTTTATTTTAGAAAGATAAGTACTGAATGTCAACCATATCAAACACTAATGCATGTATCCATTATTGTTAACAGTGGGAGACAGGTGATAGTCTTTATCCTGCAGTTGCCAAATGACTACCAGCTTCTGAAGTTCGATTCTGGAACCATAGCACTGAAGTTTGATTCTGGGATTGATTTTATAAATCATTCAAGAAGCTATGCATTTGTTTTCATCAATATTATATAACTCAAGAAGTCTCCCACCAAATGACATAAAAATATTTACAGAACATTCTTCCCCCTCTTCTTTCCTAAAATAATTTTATCCCAGGCTGGTGTATTGACATCTGAGTTTGAATCTTGGCTGTTTCATTTTCTGTGCATTCCTAGCCTTTTCTGTGCATTCCTAGCCATCTTCAGTGGGAATAGAATATCCATGGGTGGGCTTCAGGGGCTGTCTAGCCTTCCAGAAAAATGGCTCTGGACATCTTCCACTGGGCTTAAAGCAGAGAACTGGGAGTTCTTCTCACTGCAGCACTCACAAGTGTATTTTTATACCTTCAAGCAATAAATCTTCATATAGTAAGCATCTACTCCAGAGCAGGTACTGGAGATAAAAGGTTGAATAAAATGCAGCTCGTGCCCTTGATGTACGTTATAATCTAATCTATATATCATTTTATAATTTATCAGACAAAACTCTTCACTCTCTGTGTATCAAACTATGATTTGGTAAGGAAAAAGCATTATTAATATACTAAGAAATAGGAAATGAATATATTTTGAAGAAAATTAGTAGCTTCATGAGGCAAGTTTCTCATATATAATTAAATAAATAAAAGTAAAAGTATCATGTAACTGAAGTTCATGAATGCATGACAGGGTTTGCTACAGCCGGGGTAACATTAGACAGATCACTTTAACTTCTCTGTGTGCTTCATCCATCTGTGGGGGCAAAACTGGTCTACCACAATGATGTCAATGACCACAAATGATTACAAAATACTTTAAAATATAAATTCTAATATAAAGCAGACCCTGAACAGCATTTATAGGTGATGATTCTCTCTTTTTCAAACTCAGGTATCTGGACCTCCGTCGATTTGGATCTGTGCCACATGGAGGTTTTGGGATGGGATTTGAACGCTATCTGCAGTGCATCTTGGGAATTGACAATATCAAAGATGTCATCCCTTTTCCAAGATTTACTCATTCGTGTCTTTTATAGATGGAAGACTGGTTAAGGAAAATTGCCCAAGCCACAGGTACTGCACGTGAATGTGCATATAGGAGAATGTATGTTTGGATTTTATAAATACAGAAGTTTTCAAAATGTACTTGTCATACCATAGCATATAACATGTGAAGAATAAAAGTGATCATGATTTTCTTATAAAGTGCAGGGCATTTCATGGAAAGATGAACTCTCTCAAGAAGACATACTTATAGCAGGTAGAATCTCAAATCCATTGTATCAATTAATAAGAAATGAAGATATTGAACAAGATGGTTTCAGAGTTCCTTTCAGACTTTAAGAGAGGACGAGATTGTGTATTTTACTTTGTCTTTAATGATTAGATCACTACCTTGTGTGACCTTTGAGAAACAATTAGTAACTAAAAATAAAATGTTGGATCTTTTCTAGCTTGCCATTTAACCTATGACAAATGCTCATCTTATTCTATGTGCGTTACTAAACATTATAGAAGAAAATATTCCTTCTTTGGGTCTTGAGTTAATAGATTTGCTATTCTGAATTGAAATCTTCTTTCATCAGATTGGGTGAAAAAATCACATTTAATAACTCTTGATCCTCAATAAAATGGGTATAGAAGGATAATACCTCAACATAATAGAGGCCAGATATGGCAAACCCTCAGCTAATATATCCTCAGCAGTTGAAAACTGAAAGCTTTTTCTCTAATGTCAAGAACCACTATTATTCAACACAGTACTGGAAGTCCTAGTCACAGCAGTCAGGCAGAGGAAAGAAATAAGTATTCGAATAGCAAATGAAGAAGTAAAACTATCACTGTTTGCAGATGACATGGCTCTATGTATCAGAAACCCTAAAGACTCTACCGAAAGAGTCTTAAAAGTGACAGACAAACACAGTGAAGTTACAGGATACAAAATCACTGTACAAAATCCCATTGCTTTCCCGTACGAGATTCAGCCATTGTTAATATAAGGGGACTGGTTAGCACGACATCGCTCTCACCTGGCAGCCAAGAAGAATTGACTGGAGTGCACATGTGTGAACAATGACAACTTCACTGTACTAGTCATTGGGAGCGGTAGATGCCATTGCATGAGCATGTGCATTGTGTGGTTATCACATTCAAAATGAGTAAGTAGAATAATCAATCTACACCAAATTTTGCATGAAGCTTGAACATTTCTCCATGAAAACTATTCAGATGTCAGAAGGCTGCAGCTATAGGTAACTGGTGATTGTCACCTTCATGCATCATGTCTCATGCAGAGTTTTTTGGCAAAACATCAAATCGCCCAGGTGACACACCTCGCCTACAGCTGAGATTTGGCACCCTGCAACATCTGGCTTTTCCCAAAACTAAAATCACCTTTGAAAGGGAAGAGATTTCAGACCATTGATGAGATTCAGGAAAATACAGTGGAGCAGCTGGTGGTGATCAGGAGAACTGTGTAAGGTCCCAAGGTGACTACTTTGAAGGGGTCTAAGATGTTATTGTCCTATGTACAATGTTTCTTGTATCTTCTTCAATAAATGTCTGTATTTTTCATATTACATGGCTGGATACTTTTTGCACAGACCTCATATACTAACAATGAAAAAGAAATAAGACAATTCCATTTATGATTGCAACAAAGAGGATAAAAATACCTAGCAGTAATCTTAACAAAGTGAAGGACTATACTGAAAACTACAAGACATTGTTGAAAGAAATTGAAAAAGACACAAAGAAGTGGAAAATATTGATTGGAAGAATTAACATAGTTAAAATGGCCATATTACTGAAAGCAATATACACATTTAATGGAATCCCTGTAAAAATCCTGATGGTGTTTTTCAAAGAAATAAAACAAAAATTTCTCAAATTTATGTGGACCACCAAGGACCCCAAGTAGCCAAAGCAATCCTGAACAAAATGAGAAAAGCCAGACGTATCACACCCCTGACTTTAAATTACAGTACAAAGCTAAAATACTCAAAATAGCACGGTATTGGCAGAAAAATAGACACACAGACCAATGGAACAGAATTAAGAGCCCAGAAATAAACCCACACATATGTGGGCAAGTAATTTTCCTCAACTGAGGGTCTAAAACCACAGTAGAGAAAGGAATGTCTCTTCAACAAATGGTGCTGGGAGAATCGAAAAGCCACATGCACAAGGATGAAACAACACAGCTATCTGACACTGTACACAAAAATTAATTCAGAATGGATTAAAGATTTGAATATAAGGTCTAAAACAAATACAAAGAAAATATAGGTGCTAAACTTATGGACCTTGATCTCAGAGGGATTTTTGTGAACTTGACCCCAAAGGCAAGGGAAGTAAAAGCAAAAATATATGAATGGGCCTACATTAAACTAAAAAGTTTCTGCATAGCAAAAGGAACCATCAACAAAACAAAAAAGCAGCCAACCCAATGGGAGAAGATAGGTGCAAATGCTATCTCCGATAAGGGACTAATATCCAAAATATATTTTTTAAAACTTATATAAGTCAATAGCAGCAAAAAACAATCTAATTAAAAATGGGCAAAGGACCTGAGCAGACAGTTTTCCCAAGAAGGCACGCAGATGGCCAACAGATACAGGAAAAGATGTTCAACTTCACTAGCTGTAAGGACACTGCAAGTCAAAATCACAATGATATACAACCTCACACCTGTTAGAATGACTGTTACCAATAACACAGGAAATAACAAATGTTGGAGAGGATGTGGAGAAAAGGCAACCCTCATACACTGCTGATGGGAATACAAATTGTTGCAGCCTCTATGGAAAACAGTATGGAGATTCCTCAAAAAATTCAGAATAGAGCTACCGTATGATCCCAGCAATGCCTCTTCTGGGTATCTAACCAAAAAATTAGAATATGCTTGTCATAAAATATATGTAACCCTGTGTCCATTGTAGCATTATTCATGATAGCCAAGATATGAAAACAAGTTAATTACTCACTGAGGGATGACTGGATAAAAAAGGAATGGTGTGTATATGTACATACACATACAATGGAATACCACTCAGTCATAAGAAAAGATGGAACACTGCAGTTGGCAACAAGGGTGGATCTTGAGAATATCATGCTAAGTGGAGTCAGATGGAAATGGACAAGAACTATATGATTTCACTCATATGTGGTATGTAAAACAGAAAGCAACAAATGAACAAACAAAACATTCATTGGCACAGACAGCAGTATGATGGCTACCAGAGGGGAATATGGGTGGGGGAGGATGAAGAGGGTCAAATGTATGGTGACAGAAGACTAGATTTTTGGATGGTGAACACACAATGTAAAGTACAGATGATTTATTATAAAATTGTACACTTGAAAGTTGTATGTTATTAACCAATATTATCCCAATAAACTTAATTTTTCAACTGATGTTTTTGTGTTGACCACATCTTCTTTTTTGTAGTTTGATCATATTTACTTACTTTTTAAGTATATTTTATTGATTATGCTATTACATTTTCCCAGTTTTTCCCCCTTTATCTCCCCTCCAGCCTGCACCTCCCATCCCTCCAGCATTTCCCCCCCTTAGTTCATGTCCATGGGTTGTACATTTAAGTTCTTTGACTTCTCTGTTTCCTACACCATTCTTTACATCTACCCATCCATTTTATGCCTACCAATTAATGCTTCTTATTTCCATACCTTACCCACCATTCTTCCCCTTCCCCTCCCCGCTGAAAACCCTCCATGTGATCTCCATTTCTGTGAATTTGTTCCTGGTATAGTTGTTCGCTTAGTTTTTGTTTTTAGGTTCAGTTGTTGATAGTGAGTTTGCTGTCATTTTACTATTCATAGTTTTTTATCTTCTATTTCTTAGATAAGTCCCTTTAACATTTCATATAATAAGAACTTGGTAATGATGAACTCCTTTAACTTGACCTAGCCTAGGAAACACTTTATCTGCCCTTCCATTCTAAATGATAACTTTGGTGGATAGAGCAATCTTGGATGTAGGTCCTTGCCTTTCATGACTTCAAATACTTCTTTCGAGCCCCTTCTTGCCTGCAAGGTTTCTTTTGAGAAATCAGCTGATAGTCTTGGGCACTCCTTTGTAGGTAACTCCTTTACTTTTGCTGCTTTTAAGATTCTCTCTTTATCTTTAATCTTAGGTAACTTAATGATGATGTGCCTTGGTGTGTTCCTCTTTGGTTCAACTTCTTTGGGATTCTCTGGGATTCCTGGAAGTCTGTTTCCATCACCAGACTGGGAAAGTTTTTCTTTGTTATTTGTTGAAATAAATTTGCAACTTCTTGCTCTTGTTCTCCTTCTGGCACCCTTATGATATTAGAACATTTAAAGTTTTCCCAGAGGTTCCTAAGCCTCTCCTCATTTTTTTTTTATTTCTTATATCTTCATTCTGTTCTGGTTGTATGTTTATTTTTTTTTGTTCTAAATCATTGATTTGAGTCTTGGTTTCCTTCCCTTCATTGTTTCTTGTATATTTTCCTTTATTTCACTTTGTATAGTCTTCATTTCTTCCTGCATTTTGCAACCAAACTTGATAATTTCTGTGAGCATCCTGATTACCAGTGTTTTGAACTCTGCATCTGATAGGTTGGCCATCTCTTCATTGCTTAGTTCTTTTTCTGGAGTGTTATCTGTTTTTTCATTAGGGCCATATTTCTTTGTCTCAGTGTACCTTAATTATAGCTAATGAGATGTATAAATTATTTAAACTAATCACTATTGTGATTAGTTTATTTTAGATGTATATAACTTATATGATAATCAGTAAAATAGATTTTTGATACCTATGAAAGAAAAGAGTACTTATATTTGAAAATTCCATTGGTCCTTTTTCCAGGGAAATTTGACAAAAAGGTGTTTTCAATCCAAGATGAGGATGCAATTATAGCTAAAGCTAAAGGGTAGGTATAATAATTTGGGAATCAAAAGTAATGATGTGTATTAGAGTGAGAAGATCACTGGTTTAGGAGTTTCTGACCTGACAGTTCTAGCACCTTGCATGTATGATTTTGGACAGAACACTGTGTAATGAGCTCGTACATCATTTTCCTCAGAGTCAATATAATAATTACCTGAAAGTGTATAAAACTGAAAGACCACACAATTGAACTGTGAGTTACATATATGGAGACTTACAGTAGATTGTGTATTCAGTAGAATTTGTATTATCAAGTAATTGTGGAAAGGCACAGCTGCCTGAATAATCAACTCTCTAAGTCGCATTAGATGACTTGTCTTAGGTTATTTATGAGTTAGTTTATATGTTTAATTTTAACCTAACTCAGATCAGACAGCTGAAATGAGCTACAGAATCTTAGGATTGAAAGTCATGGAAGTCACTGAGAGGTTGTCAAGATCACACTTGTGTCTAATGCAGAGACATCGTGTGTACCCAGGCAACATCTCTTGGCAAAGAGTTCACTATCCCACGTACTAGCTCATTTCATTTTTGAATCTCTCTAATTGGTAGCTCTTGCTGAACTAAAATTTACTTCCCTGGAACTTTAATCCCTTGGACTTAGATACCAAGTATAGGACAGAGTAAAAGATCATTAGTGCCCCAGCCAGGTGGCTCAGTGGTTTGGATCATCACCCCATGCACCGAAAGACTGGGTTTGACTCCTGGTCAGGGCGCACACCTGGGTTGGGAGTTCCGTCCCTGGTCAGGGTTCACGTGGGAAGCAGCCAGCTGATGTTTTTTCTCTCTCCCTCCTTCTCTCTAAAATCAATAAGCGTATCCTCAGGTGAGGATTTTTTTTTTTAAAGAGTGATAATTTGGGCTTCTGTAAGGTTTACTTCAACCATGGGTTAAAGAGATAAATTCATAGGACATGTGCTATAAAATGTAAAGAACAGGTCAAATATTACTAAGCTTGCTAGAGAAGGCATTTCTGAAAAGGTGATGTTTAACCTTTTTAGCCCTAGAAGATAAAATACAAAAAAAAATCATTTTAAAGCATTTGTAACATTGGCCAATTTTGATTGACATTCAGATCTTGATACTGGACTGAGTTTTGTGGAGAAAGAATCAACAAACATTCACAAGCCTCAGACCGGCTACACTGATCGTTTGCAAGGCTATCAGGAACCATGCCTCCAGTGATTTCCGAGGAACCAGGTGGAACTGTAGTGTTCACACGCTGGCGGGGCATCAGGAAGGAAGTGATAGAGGCCCTGGCTGGGTAGCTCAGTTGGGTAGAGTGTCATCCTGATACACCAGTGTTGCAGGTTCGATTCCTGATAGGGGCACGTACAAGACTCAACCAATGAATGCATCGATGAGTAGAACAACAGATTGATGTCTCCCCCACCTTTCCTCTCTCTCCCTAAAAAAATCAATCATGAGAAAGTGATAGAAAGAATACTGAATTAGAGAAACCCAAATCCTGGGTTCTGGTCCCAGGGCCACCATAATTTAGCTGTGGAGCATTATGCAAGTGAGGTCATCTTGTGGCTTCCAGTTATTGTTAAATGTCCATACTTATTGCTTTATTCTTTTCCTTCACAGTTGATCACACCATGAGTATCTGGTTGAAGCCAAACACTTGCCACTTATGATAAGCTT